AGATGTTCTTTTAATGACAGAGGTATATAATTCTTAATTAACTTTTAATTTATATTACATTTACAATGGATAATTTTGATACCAAATTACATCACTTTATATTTGAGTAAAAGTTCTCGTCCACTAATATATCGTCAAGGTAAATTATTCTTGATCTTTTACTTTATATATCTAACCTTTTAAAATTTGAGTTCTTTTTCAACTTTATAAAACATTTGATGTGATTTAATCTTATTATTGACAAGGATCCACTAGTAGAAAACTGGCTTACTGTGACACTTTTATAGTGACACTTTTTTGAAATAAGTCATTAGTAACACAAAAGTGTCACTATTTTCAGTATTTTTCAACACAAATATATGAAAATCACTTAGTGACACTTGAACGTTTTTACGGAGTATATTTTAAGTTATAACGCGTGCATAACTATTTGGGCCGGGCTGCATGGTCTATTATACGGAGTAATAATACGAAGCCTTTCAATACTTAACTAATCGATCTTCTTCCAGACTTGTGCATCTTCTCGCCTCTTTCCCTTTTCAAACCCTAGCTAATTAATTCATCGATTGATAAAGAGAGCCAAGGATGAAGACTCAGATGCTGTTGTTCCTAACGACTTTGAAGAAGATGCCATTTCCACTTCTCCCGACGAGTTCGATGGTGATGCCGTCACTGCTGCTCCAAACGACATCAACGAAGACGAACCCGTAGCTGCTCCCGACGACTTCGACGAAGATGACGCCGGTGCTCCTCCAGACGACTTTGACAGAAGATGACGCCGGTGCTCCTCCAGACGACTTTGACAGTGACCACTGCTGCTCCAGGTTAACAGAAGAAGACCTAGTGCTCTCCACTAACATTTTACACACCACTCTGCATCAACCGGTGAATAGGACGCACGGATTTCTGCTCTCCGGCCATAACCAACAATCAGCTATCTTCCACCTGAGGTAAATTTTCAATATTTTCTGTTTAGATTATACTGTTTATTTTTTCACTTAGGCTGAATTACCTGAATATACTGTTTATTTTCTTGAAATTTTGGAGAAAACATGATAAGTTCTTGTTAATTAGTTTTAAGTACACAAACTTCGTTTAGGCTGCAGCTATTGTTTATAATATGTTTGTAGAAATGCCCAAGCCAACTTTACTATAACTTCCAAATGGGAGTGATAATGTAATTGATCTATATAATTGCATATCCATTCTTTAGTTGCTAGACCCGCAATATTATGCAGTATTGTGGTTGCTAGATTAACAGGCTTTGATTGAGCGAAGGACATTGTAAGTTGTTGCCGAATTACCGTTTTAGCTTTTTTTCTCTTCAAACACTATAAAAATATTTTCTTTATCTGTGATGAGTGGCGTTCAGTATACAATGTTTTTGAAGGAATTTTACACTAACAGATTCTTTCCCCAATTGAGGTTGGGTTGTGTATTCTCATTTCTTGAAATAAAGGTATTAATGTGTTTTTCACTTTTTCTCAAATGAGTGAAATGTTTTTTAATTTGTAGCAATAGTCTGGGTGCTTTCACCTTCATTGGTCTTGCTTCTTTTACTACAACAAAAGGCTTGGCTTTCACCTTCATTGGTCTTGCTTCTTTCACTACATGTCTCATTATTCAATTGCTATTGAGTTTTTGCTTGAGGCTTGTGTAAATTTTGTTGCTTCTCTTTCTTAGTTGATAAATTTGTAGTTATATTTATATATTGGTATGATAAAAAGTAAAAGCTAGGGACAAAGGGTGAGTTTGACTTAATGTTACCTCAGAGAGGCTTTCTACCGGCAAAATCTTCCCAATGTTACCAATCTGCTTGCAACAATTTTAATCTTCTGCGTTGTCAACTATTTCCAAGGTTTTGAGGTGTACATATGTGCTGGAGAGAGGTGAAAGCCTCACTGGCATAAGACGTATGCACTTAGGGGCTATATAAATGCAGTCCCAATGCACTTAAGTTTCTGATTTATTACAAAAGTGGCCCAATAGGTCTACATGATTGGGATTTACTTCTATTTTGATACTCTTATACAGGGGCGGCCATGTATATTCGAAGGCCTAGGGGCGAACAATAAAAAAATGGGCCTAATTTTAAAAAAAATTGTAAAACACTTTTCTACCTAAATAAAAATGCAAAATAATAATATTTAAATACCTTTAGAATAAAGAAAATACTTGAATTCGTTAAATTAAACATAGTCGAATAATGTATTCAAAATAACCGAATAAAAAATTATTTAATGATAAATAACGCCCCGATACAATACACTTGCTAAGGCCGGTGTCATCAACTATAGCGTCATCAAGCTTTTCTAAGACATTATTATGCTCAATACTTAATATAGCTAATCAATTAGTTAAATTTATAAATTTAACTAATTGAACTGCACGTTAGTTCTTCCTTTTTTTTAATTTTGGGCCTTTTGCGTTCTTGGGTTTCCTGAACTTGTACAAAATTATTAATTTTGGGTTAAAACTCAGCCTACTCAAATATACTATAAAGAAATAATTCTGGGCCTAAAAAATTTTCATTTTTTTTGGGCCTAGGGCACCCGCCCCACCTGCCCCCCCCCCCCCAGGGCCGCCCCTGCTCTTATATAACAAATTGCCTATTCAAGCTCATTGTATTTGTAAACTAGTGGCCCAGTAAAAGAATTAGATTGCTTGCCCACTTTCAAAGTTCAACATGGTACGTATGTCAGGTAAAGAAAAAGGAACAAAAGGAGCACAAGACGGTGAGCTGAGGTTTGATATGCAATTGGCTCTCTTAATCTGCTTAATACTTTTAGGGTAATATAATACCTTATGTGTCTGAGTGTCTCTTAATCCAGATTGAGCAAGAGTATAAATGTTTTAGTTGGGAATAAAGCTGACCTTGTTGAGAAAATGCAAGTTTGTACAGAGGGAGGAAAAGCTAAATTGATCATGTAGAAACCAGAGTTCTCTATATTTCTAATGTTCTGTTTTTTCTTCTCATGTCTGTATTCTGACAGTTTTGGTGGTATTATATGGAATATTTACTAGAAGTAAAAAACATGTACGTAAGTAATTATAGCAAAGTTATCTCCTTTTGATTGTTTTTCTGTTTGCTTAATGGCTTCACTGCTCTTTGAAAGCTGCTTTCAGCTACTTGTTTAAAAACTGCTCTTTTGTCATCACATCTCTATTCTTATGGAAAATTATTCAACTACATTTTCTTGTGTTCCAGTACCGTAGTTTTTCTTTCAGAGGATAATATTCAACTATATGCGACGTGACTATAAATTTCTATCAATGACATTGTGCTCTATAAATTTCAGCAGCTTCCCAGATTTCAATGTGTTTGATTTAATTTTATTTCTATCAATGACATTGTGCTCTATAAATTTCAGCAGCTTCCCAGATTTCAAAGTGCTTGATTTAATTTGCCTGTGTGTCGTATAAAGAAATGCTTGAAGACCTTGAGGGTCATAGGGGGTGGCCTGACATGGAGCAAGAGCTTTAATTTGAAGCATTATTTACCATTGAACAAAATCTGAACTTCTTCCTCAACCCTATGACGGTGCAAATCAGCGCCTCTTTGCACACTTCAACTCCCCTTTTGGCATACTTTGTTGATACTTCATTAGTTTTGAGTACTCTTGTAAGAGTTGAAGATTTATAGCATATTGTAAAAACTTTGTATGGTTAAAGTGTAGATTTATAGCATATTGTATTGTACTTTAATGTTATTGACACTAAAATAATTTGAGAAGAAAATACAAATGTTGATCTAGCCTTTTATTTTGATTATTTATTATTATTTCTATAATCTTTAACCGAATTAGTATCAAATAAAAAAATAATGATTGTTATAATATTATTATTACATTTAACACTAATGTGTCGTAGTTTTCTATGATACCAACGTGTCGCAAAGCTTAATGATACCAATGTGTCATAATTGTGTACAACATTAATGTGTCACAATTTACTGACACTATTATGTTTTACAATTAGTGACACTATATTTAGTGTCACTAGCCGACACTTTTCCCGACGCTTTTTTAGTGTCACAGAAACTTTCAGTGACACTAAATTAGTGTCACTATAAGCCTTTTTTCTACTAGTGATCAATTAACTTTATGATCAATCAAACATCATAAACCAAATAGAACCTTTCTGGTAACTCTTTTCAGTGTCGCAAGTTGGGCATGAGCGGAGGTAGTTGGGTAGAAAACATAATTAAAAGAGAAGTATACTACGGAGTATAAATTAAATAAAACTTAGTCATATTTTAAAAAATGAAGATTACTCATGTTTTTGTCTTCCTAAAATAAAAAGGTTTTTTTTTTTCATTTCTACTTTAGTTCATGTTATATTCACTAATTTCACACATGAAATCCCATCTCAACATAAGCTATTGCGCTCCATTTGAGAATGTTGTTTGGTTGAATTGAAATCCAAATTTGAACATTCAAGATCATGCCAGATCAGATCAAATGAGATGAGATCACATATAGATAATATTAACGCACACATAAAACATACATAAAAAAAGACTAAACGAGTTCAGGCTGAATCATACTTAAATTAAACATACAAAATCCGACCAGAGCACAATATTTATTATAACTAATGACTTTATTTTTCAATCATGCTAATGTTTTCGATCATGACAATAACGTCTTTTACTTCCAAAACAAAAACATAGTATAGTCTCATTTTGAAATTCCCAAAATTATTCCCAAAGTTGTTAACTTTTATTAAGGGCAATTTTCCCAAATACGGAGTATTTAGAACAATGTTTCTAATTTGGCTATTTAAGTTTGACACGGGAAACAATCACGCTATTTAAGGTAAGGTACATGATTAATGCTTTATATTTTTTAGTCTTTCCTAATATTATTACTTCCTCCATCTAACTTTTATTAAATTTCTTTTTTTGTTGTTGTCCTACTAACTTTATTATCCTTTAAAAACATAAAAGATACTCCACCGTACTTGTTAATTCTTTCTTTCCTCTATAAAAACGTAACCATACAAACTTTCCCTCATTACTAATATTAATTCTTTACTAATTTTGTTAAAGGAAGGGTACTATATAATAAGTCTACTTGAATTGGTCTCATGCCTCACCCTTGTCCTATCAACACTATGGAAGAGGTATGTTTTTATGGTTTCATGTGATTATTATAGTGTCTGATGTACAGAGTATGTCTGTCGGCCTTCTCCGTTCCAATCACCCCACCGGAGAGACGCCTCTTTCCGATTCTTAATGCTCTTCCTTCTTCAGACTATTAGACTCTGGTGGGCTGACATGAACGGATGAACCATTACAAATACATTGGTTACATTTTACAAATACGAGTATAAATTGGAAGTGTTTAGCCAACCCTGTTACAGTTTCCTTCAAACTATTGCAATTGCATAGTCAATTTTTACTTTTAATCTCACTTGGTTATTTAGATTTAACTTATACTATACATATATGTGTATATCGCTTTTCTTAATTCGTAGTCCAAAGGGTTAGTTTCATTTATTACCGTTCCTAAATCTGGTTTAATCAAGGTTGATCAGGTTTAAGCTGGACAAGAACAAACCTAGAAAAGTAGGATAGAAAAATACTTGACCAATTCAGACTTCTAATCTGACTTATCAGACCGTGCGACTAGGCCAATCCAAGAAAACTTTAATTTAGTGCAACTGATTGAAAAAGTCATGGCATGTGTATATATGATACTCTTACTCCCCAATCCTTTCCATTATAGGTCGGAGGTAACTCAAAAATGGATGAGTTGGAGGCTAACAATGAGGGTGACACTATTCGTGATTGGGCAAATCTTCCGGGAGACCTCTTGATACAAATATTGCAACATCTTTACCTTGATGATGTCAAACGGTTTCACAAAGTATGCAAATCGTGGGATGCTCTCGAGGATCCTGAAGAACATAATCCGCTCAACTTCCCCACTGTTCCCTCCCAATGGCTTGTTCACAAAGACACCTACAACGACACCGTATTGAAATTCTTTCACAGCGTTTACGACCATAGCTACTCTCTAGATATTCCCGAATTGTTGTCGTCAGTTTTGTCGTATTCCAACAATGGGTGGCTCCTGTTTCGTGAAAGTGAAACAACTTTCTTTTTCAACCCATTCACCAATGAGAGGGTTGATTTGCCTAACAAACCCGAATGGTCTGTGTGGAAGAGTGTCATCTTCTTATCCGAACCAACCGCTACTGATTGCATGGTTTTCGGGGTTATGTCAGTTGTGGGAACGTGGGTTCGTATCTACACAATCAGTCGCGGAGAAGGGGATTGGGAGGAATCCGTATTTGATTTTGATGAGGACGACACACCCATGTTCCAATCTGTGTGTAGTCCTGTTTTCCATAATGGCAAGCTGTATTGCTTAGGCGCGGAAGGTAAAATGGGCGTGTTTGATCTCGAAGGGAGAAATTGGACCATTCATGACGTTTCAGACCGGCCTCTCGAGGACCAAACGTATGAAAGCTACCTTCTCGAATGCAATGGACAATTGATGGCAGTGTTTCTGTCATACATGGGACAAGAGATTTGCATTCTTTCACTGGACGCAGACAAAATGGAGTGGGAAAAAGTGGACAGTTTGGGTGAATTTATGTTGCTTATCAGTTCTCCTAAATCTCTCGCAGTCAAGGCAGTAATAGACGGGATGGAGAACAAAATTTACTTTCCCAGATTTTATGATCATCAGATTGTGTTTTACTGTGTTGAAACCGGTTTGTACAAGACATTTGGGAGCTTCTCAAAAAAGGACTTGTTTGAGACGGAAGAACAACTGAACTGCTGTTGGATGCAACCATCTGGTACCCGTGCTTCTACTCCAAAGCATCTTGATTGGTTAGTCTCCTTGGATGAAGAAAAATGAAGGCCTTGATCGATGAGAGAAATTTGATAATATAATCTTGTGAATTCCTATTATATTTAATTATTTCGTGTTATGTACGATGGCAATATATTTTGGTATAATTAATTAGTTTAGTCTACATACACCGGTACCAAATCCAATCGATAAATTTGGAATATTATAAGCCGATTGCAGGAAATGTTTAACAATATGGAATATAATAATGCTCTACAAGCTAAGGTTTAGAGACGTTTAAAAACTTCTTTCGACTCTAATGCTCAACCAAAAAATATTTAGTCCAGCTGCTCATATTTTCCTTAGCCAATTTACAAACCTCAAATTGATTGTTCCACTCTAACTTTTAATGGGACAAAATATTAAGCATTTTTTTATCATCAAAACATGCCTCTATTTATATCAAAAGATTCAGGATCATTACATCAAGCAAAGGAAAAATAAAACTGACACCAACTGAAACTCCAACAAGTACGACTGTAACCTTATGGTGAGACTTTGAGACGGTCACCCCTGAAAGAGCAACACGAATCGCTAATCATGTAGTGGCTTGACACAGCCAAACCTGTTCCCATAGATCCAACCACACCCAATCACATAAAGACAGGCTAAAAATTCAAATAAATTGTCAAAATCAACAACAAAGATAAACACAAGAAAACAAATGACAAACGGATAAAAATTACTAGGAAAACTTTCACGGACTCTAACACCTCGTACAACCCATGATGGTGGTTCATGCGGAGGTCGGACCGTCGCTCGATTGTTACCCTCTTTCAGTGGCGTACCCGCCGTATGACCCAAATACATGCCAACGAATGGAGCGTTCAGCCTCTTTCTTGATCGAAGTGCGGTTAGTGTTTCCCGATCATATCCCTACGTCTCTGTCTCGCTTCTTCCACCATCTTCTTGCTGCCACGATCATCCATCGTCCCGAGCTACGTCCAAACCACGGCAATCCGACGAAGAGCTGCGTCGATTGAAAGAAACGCCGCACCAGGGCGGCGAAGTAAAAACCCTACGCGAGAGATCTCGCTAGGGAAACACTGATCGAACTTCGATAAAGAAAGATCGAAATCGGAAAGTTTGAATGATGGGTAGATCCGGAAGGGTTCTCATCTAGTATGGAAGAATTACGTTTTTTGGCTTTAGTTTTGAATAATCATGTTTAGCATATGAAAAAAATGAATCGTATGTATCTATATCTATATCTATCTATATATAATACATTTGAAGGTTACAATTATGGAAAGTATTATATTGAGCATATTTAGAACATTTGATGTTTTGAACACTACACTTTTAAAATAAAACAAATATCTATACTAATATAAAGAGATAATTATCTTCGGTATGACTAAAACTTAATCACTTTCTCAATCTATGACTTAACTAGTTTTTTACCAAAATATTATTAATATTTAATTAAATTCGTAATAAGTAATTAAATAAAAAATATAGGTAGACAAATATACCCTTTAGGTTATATCTATAAAAGCATAACCTCCTACTCTTTTCTCCAACCCTAGATCCATATGCCTGCCTCCATCCTCCATAGCCGCCCCACGCCGCCGCCGCCCCATGGCCTGCTGTCAACCGCCGTCCAGGAGCAGGATCATCAGCCAAATGCATCCAGCCGCTGGTGCTGGCACTACAAGAAATGTTACATTTCTTGACACTCATTTTTATTGACACATAAAAATGTGTCACAATAACAAACATATATTGACACTTATGTGTGTCAAGATTACATTTCTTGACACTCATTTTTATTGATACATAAAAATGTGTCACAATAAGAAAATATATTGACACTTATTGTGTCAAGATAAGTATTTCTTCTAATTGAATTTATCTACGAGTAATACGGAGTGTTATTCAAGTACTCCTATGAACATAACAAATTGGCCTCAAAATTCTACAAATTAGTCCAAAGCCCTATTTCCTTCTCTACCTTATCCGATCAACCCTTCATAGCAATATTTGTATCCATGGCGGCAGCTGAAAGTGTAACACCCCGGCCCCACTAGACCCGAGGTAGTTACTCCAGACCTCTAGTACTGTCCTCACAAACCACCACGAGCCTTTATCGCGCACTTTGTCCTCACTCATGCGCGCCCTGAGAAACTTCCCAGGGGGTCACCCATCTCAAGACTACTCCCGTGCAAGCACGCTTAACTTTGGAGTTCTTGGGTGATGAGCTCCCTTGAAAGGAGATGCACCTCTGTTGGTATGAGTAGTACTATTAATCCATTTATAATAAATCTCAAGTGTTACAATAGGAGAACACTGAAAGAAGAATAAACAGCCATGTTACGAACGCAGAAAACGAAGAAATTTTTTGTAGCCTCAAGGAGAACACCAACGATAGTGCCATGGTTCTGGAGTTAATAGGAGATCTGACCCGTCTTTCGCTGCTTCACCAACTTTCAAATTTCTGGTAAATTCTTTGTATCTATGTTTCGGAGCTAAATAGTTTTGTTCTCTATCTTGGTATGTATACGAATCTAGCTCATTTGGATTTTAGTATCTAGAAAACAGTTTTACTTGAAAATAGCTATTTTTAACTTTTTATTGATGATTTAATCTGATCGTGAGTGATAAAGTTGCATCTTCCATCTTGCTAATGGCTCTATTTGTCCATTCAAGGTGGAGAAATAATATACTGATATTAATTGGTACGTATTCACCTTTGATGACACATGAGGTTCTCTGCATATAAGGTGCTCGATGAAATTCCTAAACCATATACAATTTTTCCACTTCTGAATTTATGACTCCTTTATGCAACTAATGTTCTTTCTGTTCTCAGTTGAATATTTCCAGATGAAGAGACTCTCTTTGAGTTTACATTCAGTTTGCAGTTTTTTGTTGGATTATATATCCATTTACGAGCATATATAATGTTGTTGTCATATGTTTGAATTAATGTAATATATAACCAAAATATAATTTTATTCAAATAACCAAGTTTAGTGGGAGTGAGTTGGCTGACGAGCTAACAAGTTGAACACTATCAATCGCTTTGATGTTTTTACTTGTCTCGTGAAATGAGCTTAAATAATACTTTATTGGCATCTTCTATGGAAAGTGGGATGATTGGTGAAATGAATTTATAATCATGCATGTATATAGAAATGCATCTTCAGTAATGTATAATTCTTTATGTTTATCAAAAGCTTACAATTGTATATAATATCCTTCTTTTAGTCCTAAATTAATCTATTATGGGTTTTATTTGCTTCTAGGCAAACTACTGATCCCATAAGTGGTTTTGCTACTCTTGAGAAGGAGTTTCCTAGAAGTTTAACACCCATGCTTGGTGATAAAAAGGTATGTAGTAGGTTGGTTTTGCATCTCTACTAACAAGTCATTGTGATTCATATAAATATTTTACGGCCTATGGTCATTATTCAGTTTGGATTAATCAATGTTCATCTCTTAATTATAGTTTTTATTATTTTATAATACAGGTTGAACACTTCTTGGGCATAGAGTGGAAATATGAGCTGGGCAGGGAGTCTCTACCTATCTGCTTTGTTTCCGGAGTTTAAGAATGAATGAAATGAGCATTTGAGTTCTCTATTTTCTGTGGTTGAGCAATGAGAGGAACTCCCTGGATGAGGCTCCCTTCACCCTTCGTGCAGGAAGTGATGATATCCTCGGGGAGTCAAAATTAAATAATACTGCCTCAAGCACGTTTGGTTAGTGTTTATGAAGTGTAACACTAAAAGTAATAAACTCTCTATGTTTCATTTTATTTAAGATTTTCTTATAAGAATATAATGTTCATTGTTCATTTAGGAACTGAACAACCAGACTGTAAGGGAGAAAAAGTTGATCTTTTAGTAAGGTTTGGGTTATTGAAGTTTGCAACTGAGATTGACGGTTTGATCAGGTGTGTTAGTGTTCAGGTTCCTTTTTTTTCAATAACATGGGTACACCTCTTTAGCTGTTGTAAACTTCATACTGTAATTTTTAATTTTATTACTTATTAATGCATGCTTAGAAAGGAAATCATTTTTTACTTACAGCCATTTGTTATATTAGAAAAGATGGTCCTCATCAATAATATCGTCATCATGGTCATCACCTTATTCCCAATTATGTTAGGACTTAGGCGTGGCCTGCAATTTTGGTGTCGACATATTGTTTAGAATAAATATACACTATAAAGAAGTTGCTCTGTGGGATTCAAGTGCATCTGTCTATACTCTGTGTTCTATTTGTCTTCTGCTCTTAGTTTTGAGTACTAATAAAACAGCTCATTAGACTTTAATTCAGACTGCTTTTGAAGTCTAACTCCAAATCTGTTTGTCTGGTCTCATAATTTATGAAGAAGCGCATGCTAAATTACATATTACTGTTGGTCAAGTGGATTTTTGATTGGTTTTGGTTGATTGAGCTCTGGTTCTAGGCTTTGTCATGTATTTTTCAGAAACGTTTTATTGACTGTTTTCAAGTGCAGGACAATTGTTGTGATGAACAGTTTTTGTGAGGATTGATTCTAATACACTTTCTAATTTCTATGATAAATCACTTTAAAGATTTATGATTTTTTTTATTATTTGCTTGAAATATCTTCTTAGGCTCTCTACTTATTTTTGGCTCTCTACTTATTTTAACAACAGAGTTTTAATTGCTATCCTACCCCACATTTTGCAGATGATTGGCGGTGAACCTTTGCCTACAAATATGACAAATCAACCGGAAGCCATCAATGAAAAGGAGCTACTTAGAGATTTAGTATATTGTTGCCTTGCGACTTCTGTTCTTAATTAATTTGCATGTTTTTAACGATAAACTATTCTTGTATCTTTGTTTTTATGATGTATTTAAAACATTTTCGGGTGACTTTTGAGTTTCAATGTGAAGAGATTATCTGGTCAATACATTCTTATTATTAATATCAACATGCATTAGACTATTAGAGTTATTTTTAGCTAGCATATTATGCACGAAAATTAGGAAACATGAATTTCTTTGACACGTGTGTCACCAAATACATTCCTTGACACATAAAAAAAAGGTTGGGGGCTTAGTACATTTCTTGACACACTTATGTGTCAAGAAAAGTGTAAATGGATTTGCCAACACATGTGTTTGAGTGTGAAGAAATGTTTTTCCTAACACCGTTCCTAGTGACACTTTTTTTGTGTGTTGGCAAATCCTATAAGAGTCTACCTTGACACTTTTACTTGTTTTTTTGACACTTTTTGTCTGTCATAGAATGTCA